GGCAGGGGTTGCGTCGGCAGGGTAGGGCAGGGCAGGGAGAGGCAGGGCAGGGAGAGGCAGGAGGGGGCAGGACAGGGCAGGGGGGGTGCAGGGCAGGGCTGGGCAGGGGGTAGCAGCTACTTCGCCCTACATGCGGACAGGCAGCGCACGCCAACCCAGCGCACCCCACACACACCCAAACACGCATGCATGCAGCCAGCGCCCGCCCACCCGTGACTGGCTGCTCGAAGCGCTGGGTGCCCGCCAGCATGAATGAGACGGCGAGGGCAAAGGCGGAGAGGCGGGGCGGCGCGTCGCTGCGCAGCTGACGCAGCCACGCCTGCCCCAGCTCGCCGTCGTGCTTCACCGCCATGTCCAGGTGGAGCAGCACTGTGGGGGGGTGGGGGGTAGGTGCGCGCATGAGTGGTTGGTGGATGGTTGTGCGGGGGCGTGGGTGGCGTGCGTGGTTTAGGAGGAGGGGTTGTGCAGCAGGCATACGCGCCAGCCAGAGGCAGCGCAGTGTGTGGCAGGCGCATGCGCGGAAGCCGCCAGGCGGCCGCCGCCCGGCGCGGGACCTCACCCGAGCCCTGCACCTCCAGAAGCTGGCGCTGCTGGTGGGCGCTGCTGTCCGCCGCCGCCGCTTCCCGCGCCTCAAACAGGCGCATGACTTCCTGCGCAGGGTGGGCCAGAGAGGGGGTCTCGGCGCCCGCCACGGCACAGCAGCTGCCGGCCGACTACAGCTGCTACGCTTGGTACTGCGGTACCGACAATCCAGCTGGCACGCCCCCCACTTCACCCCACCACGCCATGCCCCGCCACGCCACACCCCGCCACGCCAAACCCCACCCCACGCCACCACACCCCACCCTGCCACCCCACACCACGCCCCGCCCCGCCGCGCCCCACCCACCCCCAGGATCAGCTCCCGGCCGCCGCGGGCGGACAGCATCAGCAGCTGGTGCACCACGGCGGGCAGGTCCTGGCCGTCCGCCAGCCGCGCCCTCTTCACCGCAGTCTTCACCACCCCCGCCAGGCTCTCACGGGTGCTGCGGCGCAGGGCAGGGCAGGGCCAGGCAGCGCAGGGCAGGGCCGGGTAAGCAGCATGGGATGGTGTGGGGGGGGGTCCAGGGCCCGGGACGACAGCAGGGCAGGGCTGCGGCGGCGGCTGCGGCTGCTATAGCGGCGGCTCACAGCGGAAAGGCGCGCAGGCTGGCCAGCACGCGGCCGATGCTGGGCAGGGGCCAGCTGTGGGAGCAGACGCGATCCAGGAAGCCCTTGCACACGTCTGCGGGGGGCAGGCAGGCAGGGGGGCAGGGGGGCAGGGCGCAGGGCAGGGAAGACGTGTGCGCTGCAGCACCAGCGCAACACCGGCGGCAACGCACCAAGCAGGCCCGCTGCAGCTCCGAGCTGCGCCCGCGGCCAGGGAGCTGCTCCCGGAGGGAGTGTGCGCTGGTGCGCCCCGGCCAGCGCCGCGGCCAGGCAGGCGCCTCACCTGACACCTGGCACGCCACGTCGCCGCTCTGCTCGCTCCGCATGCTCACCTCCCCGCCCGCCGCCTGCATCAGCGCCAGCGCCTTTGGCAGCAGGTCCAGGGCGGCGCACCCCAGCGGCGCGTCGCTCTCGAAGGCCTCCACCGCCGTCTCGGCAACCTGCGCGGCAGGCGGCGGGCGGCAGGAGGCGGCAGGGGTGGAGGGGCACCTCATGTCGGCCGCCTGCCCTGGCGGCGTATGGAGGGTGCATGGAGCGTGAGCAGCGGCAGGCAGGCAGCGGCGCTGCAGCGGCCGGCCAGCCGGCCAGCACCCACTTCAAAAAGGTCGCCGGCGCCGGTGATGCCGCCCAGCTCCATGTCCAGAACAGACACCAGCTCGCCAGCCTGGCGCTCCGTCAGCGCCGCCGCCGCCGCCGCCGCCGCCGCCGCCGCTCCTGCCGCGCGGCCCTGGGCCTGGCTGTCTTGGCTGCCGCCAGTGGCGCCATGCTGCGCTGCCTCGGCCTGGGCGCTAAGCAGCGCCAGCCCGGCCTTGTATACGGCCAGGCGTGTAGCGGCAAGCAGGCTGGCGTCCTCAGCCGAGGGCGCCGCGGCTGTGAGGCCGGGCCGGGCCGCCGTCAGCACCGCTCGCACATACTCCTGAAAAAAGAGAAGAGGGTGTGAGGGTGGAGCACGTGCATCAGGCCGGAAGGGTGCAGGGCTGTCCATGCAATTGCGGCGCCGGAGGCGGCGACAGGCGGCGGCAGGCGGCAGCAGCTAGCGCGCCGGCCTGCAGCGGCACTCCATGCGGCCTGGAGGCTGGCGCTCGCTGCACTCTCATTGAACGGGGGCCTCCAACGCGGGCAGCAGGCTCACAATGTCGAAGCGATTCTCTTTGAGTGCGCGCTCTACTGCAGCGGGCGGGCAGGCCAGCACCAGCCGCTGCAGGTCCCGCGCGGCCGCAAGCTTCTCATCCAAACCAGGCTGCGCGGCCCAGGCGCGAGCCAGAGCGACCAGCTCTTGCTGGCGAGCCCCCGTCATGTTTGAAGCCCCTTCCGCCACATGCAGACGCTGATCACTTTGGTTGGCGGGAAGAGGGTGTTCTGGGACGTTCGCTCGCCCGTCTTGCGCATGAGATGTGTGGCCGTGCTGCGTGCGCTGCCACCGCCTGCCGTCGCCGTCAGGTTGCAAAACCGGAGCACCGACGGCAGTGCTACAATTCAATTCAATGGCAGTTATGAATAAGGCGGAAACAGGTGTGTCGAGGTCATGAAGGGACAGCACTGCGGTCTGCCGACGCGATCGGGGCGGTCGCGGCACCGCCGGCGCCGCCCGCCGTCAGGTTGCTGCCGCCGTCGCCGGCCGCGCCGCCGCCCTGCTCCGATTGGCGCAGCAGGCGCTGGTCGGCCAGCAGCTGGCACAGCTGGCAGCGGGTGTTGGGCAGCTTGTAGACGCCCACCAGCGCGCGGTAGCCGGCAGAGAGCTGGTCAAAGGGGCGGGACCGCCAGGCCGTGTACCGCTCAAACGCGGCGCGATCGTTCAGTACCCGCTTCACCTCAGCTGCCAGGTCTTCCAGCCTGGGGTACTGCTCCACCCAGATCACGCTGTCGTTGGCTGGAAAGAAGTCGGCGGCGGCGTTGGGGGCGCCCAGGTACAGCGGTACGCACCCGGCCTCAAACGCGTGCCACGGCTTCTCCGTGACATAGTCCACACTGTTGCTGTTCTCCATGGCCACACACACCTATGAGGGAGGGAGGGAGGCAGGCGCGGGGGGCAGAGTGCAGGCTCAAGGAGGCGGGGAGGGAGGCATGGGGGCGGACAGGGCAGGGCTGGGCAGGGCAGGGCAGGGCAGCAGGCAGGCGGGACGGCAGGCAGGAGTGGGTCCACTGCCGGCCCAGCGCTGCAGGCTGCGCCACCGCCACCGCCAGCACCCGCCCTGCCAGCCGCGGCGCTACCGCGGCGGCGGCGGCGGCGGCGGCGGCGGCGGCGGCTTCCGCGCAGCGCCGCACCCGGTACCGCCTCATGTTCTCCACCTTCCCGCCGGGCGCCTCGTCCGTGTTGTGCATGCACTGGCCCATTGCGTCCACGCGCACGCCCAGGGTGTCGTTCAAAGCCTCCATAACCTTTTCCCGCTGGTTGCGCGGGAAACAGTTGGAGTTGATGTATGCCACCGCCGGCAGGCGCGCCTCAAACCCTGGCATGGCGCTCTCGTTGGAGGTCCTGCGCCAGTGCGCAGGGGTGGGCGGGCAGGCAGGCAGGCGGCGCGGCGCGGGGCAGGGGCGGGTGGGCAGGCGGGTGGGCAGGCGTGAGCGGGAGCGGGGCGGGCGGGCAGCCGGATCGCTGCGGCCGGCAAGGCGCCGTGCCGGCTGGCCGCTGCCGCCACTGCCTGCTGCCGCCTGCTGCCGCCTGCTGCCGAGGCGAAGCCTGCTGCCTCCCACCCATCCCCGCAGGCCGCCCCTCCCTTCCCTTTCCTCCCCAGCCCCGCCCTGCCCAAGCCCACGCGCCCACCGGATGTCAAAGGGGGGGTATATGACGGGCACGTGCGCCGCCAGGTGGTAGGTCATGCGGTAGTCAAACAGCGAGGTGTAGGAGGCGTTGTCTACCAGAGGGTAGTACCCCGACCCCTCCATAGAGAAGGCCACCAGGGCCTGGCCGGGGAAGGCGCGCTGCGGGAGGTCCTGCTGGCGGGTCATGTGGGGCAGGTGGAACCAGAGCGCATCCGCGGTGTCGGCGTCCAGGTGGCGCGCAAAGCGGCAGCCCAGTGTGCGCCCCCGGAAGGGGCAGGCAAGGGAGCCGCGGTCAAACTCCTCGCCCAGGTAGTGCCCCGTGGCCACCTTGACAAAGACGTCGGCCGGCGGCGCGCGCAGCAGGTCGAGGCGCAACGCCGGCGCCGGCGCAAAGCGCGCCACCTGCCCACCAAACCCGGTCAGCACCTCCAGCGCCTCCTCCGCGCCGGCCGCAAACCAGCCCTGGCTGACGCCGCCCTCCCCGCCGCCGCCGGCCGCGGCGGGCGCGGCGGGGCCCGGCACCGGCTGCGAGGCGGGCGACAGGCTGAGCCCGGGCGGCGGAGGCGACGGCGCCGCGCCGCCTGCCGCCTCGGCACCCAGCGGCAGCGGCGGCCCCTCAGCTGCTCTGTCCACACCTGCTGCTGCTCCTGCTGCTCCTGCTGCTCCTGCTGCTCCTGCTGCTGCTCCAGCTGCTGCTGCTGCTGCTGTGCCGGCACCTGCTTCTTGCGGCAGCGCCTGGCCAGTCCCTGCGCCGGCCCGCGCCGAGCTGGCCGCTGGCAGCAGCCGCGCCGAGCCGCCTGTCGGGTGCTCAAACACCTGCGCGCGGCGCCGTAATCACCGGCGTCAGAGGGGTGGCGAGGCGAGGGCTTGCAGGCGCCTGCCCGCTGAATGCCGGGCGAGTGAAGCAGTGACACAGCACCACCCCCCCAGCATGCACAGCATGCACGGCAGGACGCCAGGCACCAATGGGACGGCCCACAGCGCCAGCCCACCTCTCGCCGAATGCGGATGGCCTCCCGCTCGCTGCTGGAGTCGAGCAGCAGCACGCGTTTGGATGCATCCAGAGCCAGGGGCAGCCCCACAATGAGCAGGGCCAGCACCTGCGGGGAGGGGCAGGGGCAAGGCGGTGGTGTGGTGGTGTGGGCAAGCGGGCAGCGGCAGGAGCGTGGGGGGCAACGTATCGTAGGTACGCAGCCGGCGCACCCCGGCGCTGCACACCAACCTGCAGGGTGGTGCCTGACCAGGCAGTGAGAGGCAGGCATCCTTGGCGGGGGGCGCGGCGCGGGGCCGCCATCCTGCGGCAGGGGAGGGGCTCAGGGAGGCAGGGAGGGAGCAGAGCAGCTGGGGGCAGCGGGTGCGTGGCAGGCAAGCCGGTGCTATCGCTGGGACTTGGTTTTCGGTGGTGGTGGGCAGGGCGTGCAGCATGCCAGGGCACCAGCAGCTTGCAGGCGCACCTGGGGCCGCTGCCGAGCCCAGGGATCCTGTGCCTAGCAAGCTGCGCCAGGCAATACCCACGGGCGACAGGCCCGCTTGCGGCGAGGCGCCCCGCCGATCCCAAAGGCTTGGGCGCTGCTCCCTTGGCTGCTGATGTTGGGATGTGCCTGGGTGAAGACCAGAGGCAGCCAAGCAGTTGGCTGCTCCACCTGCAGCGAACAGAAGCAGGTTGCGAGGCTGATTGGCAGCGGATGGGAACCGACGAGCGCGGTGACGCTGGCGGCGCCGCTGCCAGCCAACCGGCACCCCCCGCGCTCGGCAGGCGTCCCCGCGCTTGGTGAAGCAGGCTCCTACTTCCGCACTTGTGTCCACCGCTAATTCAGACCCAGGGGAGCCACTCCCTGCCTAAGGAGACGCACTCCCTACCCGTTGGACTGCGGGAAACAGAATTTGTGACTTGGATTGGAGGCGCTGAAGGAGTGCTCCGCGCAAACCGTGAAGCAAGCAAAATTTGGCATGCCCGCTGCGCGTGCTGGCGTTGGCGGCGGGCAGCGGACACATCTTCATGATCTACACGTGGTCCTGAATGCAGGCTTTACACAGTTGGTTTCAATCCAATTTTGCAAAGTAAAACGTCAATAAAACAAGCATGCCTGCGCCAGCCCTATCTCCAAGCGCTTGAGCAGCCCCGCCCCACCAGCAGCCGTCGCCGCGGCGCCGCATGCCGGCTGCACCGCGAGCCTGGGAAGTTGCTCCCGGTGGTGATAAACAGATGAGATTCAAAAAAATCGTTGTCTGCTCTTGGTGAGTGCAAGATGGGCAGTGGTGGGCGGGTCTTGAATGCATCGAGAAGCAATGCGGGCACCATCATTTCTCTGCATGCATGGGAAGCAACAGATTCCGTCTCACAGCGCAAGGCGGCATGTGTAGCAGCAGACCGCGGCGCAGCCCCGCCAGCCCACTCACTTGTGCAGATGACGCCCACTGGGTTCAGCTTGAAGGCCTGGTTGCCATACTGTTCCATGCACTTTTTGACCCGTGGGCCAGCTGTAAAGGAGCAGTTTGCCAGGCTGGGAAGCGACGTGTAGCAGTACACATTGCCCAGCAGGATAGGGGTGGTCTTGGCGGGCCCAAAGTCGGCGGGTCGGCCGCCGGCAAAGCCCAGCTGGCGGCAAGCAGTCTGTGCTGCGTCCAAGAATAAGGGGGGAGAGGGGCCGTTGCACACGCTGCCCCAGCGCCCGCCGTAAAGCACCTCCAGCCGCCCGCGGTACTTGTCCTTGCCGCCCACCAGCCGGACGCCGGTCAGCTTGGCCTCTGGGGACGGGGTGCAAGGAGGCGGTGCGTGAGGGTCCCAGGACCTGCCAGAGGTGTGAATGGCAGCCCAGCTGCCGAGGCGTGGCCGGGGGCAACGTGGCGAGCCCCGGGCGCAAACACTCACCTTTGCACCTAACGGCGGCGCTCTTGCCGCTCACGCACTTGGTGCCGACCTGGTACATGCATGCGGCCAGGTCCACCTCGTTCCCCTGGCAGCGCACTCTGTTGAGCTGCCTGGGGTAGCCCAGGATGCTGCAGCACCGCAGGGCAGCATGGCAGGGCGCCGTGGGGCTGGGCCGTGGGGCTGCTACTTGGAAGCGCACCAAGCAGGCGCACAGGGCACTGCTGCAAGCAGACCAGGCTGCATCGGGGGCAAGCTCACCGTGCCGGCTCTGGCTTCCCTGCAGGCAGCACCTCGCCGCCGGCATAGCCGGCCTGAGCGCATGCCACGCGCGCCTCTTTCGTGGTGAAGCCGTCGCGGCAGATCCGGCTCTGGCTGACCCCGGCCAGGGTCGACAGATAGGCCACAATGAAACCGTTGTCGCCCTTCGTGAGCTCCATGTGGGCAAGGGTCGGGCCTGCAGGAAGCACCAGCAGAGCGATAACCCAGGCTCAAAGACAGCTCCACACCCCGTTGGTACAAGTCCGAGTGCAGCTGCAAACAGACAGGCAGGCCAGCAGGCAAGCACGCCAGCCATCAAACCCCTTGGGAGACCTAATTGCAGCGCAAACCACTCACGTGCGCACACCACACCCACATCCTGGCCGTGCTTGCACTTGGAGGTGTCAGTGCTGAAGGTGCAGCCAGACAGCTCAGCCTCGCCGCCCTTGCACCGCACAGCGGTCATCATGATGGGCAGCTTGCCGGGGCCAAAGGAACCGCCCGGGCGGGCCTTGCCCGTCCGCGACAGGCCCAGCTTCCCGCACACCACGCCGGCGGCGGCATCGTTGAAGCCGCTGGCGCCGCACACCGTGCCCCAGCGCCCGCCAATCTTGACCTGCACTAAGGGCAGGCAAGATCGGGTGTGGGCAGCGCTGCGTGGCGGTGCCAGTATGGCGCTGATGATGCGCCGGCGCTGCTTCAGGCAGCGGAACCCGCCATGGGCAGATACACACAGCATGGGTGGCAGCGACCACTCACCTCCAGGCGGCCTTTGAAGGTGGACTTGCCGTTGGCCAGGCGCACTGGCACCTTGGGCAGGGCTGCAGCAAGGCACAAGTGGTCAGCAGCGGCGGCCACTGCACAGCATGCTTGCCAAAGGTTGGCAAGCACTCCCCCAACCGGCCACCAGCTGCAGCACCGGGCCACTCACTTGAGCACTCCACTCCCACGTCGTGGGCATGGGTGCACTTGGGGTTTGCGCTGATGCTGTACTGACACTCTGTCAGGTTGGCCTCTGTGCCCTTGCACTTCACGGCGCTCACCCGCACAGGCACAGTACCTGGCCCAAAGGGGGCGCCGCGCTTGGCGCGCCCGCCGGAACGGCCTGTCATGCGGCACACCACCTGTGCCTCTGCATCACCAAACCCGGTGTCGCACACCTGCAGGGCAGGGGGGCAGAAGGGAGAAGGTATGCAGGATTTGGGGCAGCTGGGATGGCGGGCTTGCCTGGCACAGCGAGCGCGGGGGCATTTGAGACCGCTGGATGGTCCGCTCAGCGCCACAGGCGCTGCAGCCTTCCGCGAGGCACCTAGCACCCCTGCCTGCCCACTCACCGTACCCCAGCGGCCGCCGGTGAGCTGCACCTCGACGCGCCCATCCTGAAACCCGGCAGAAGGGCTTGGCGAGTAAGGGAAGGGGAAGAAGTAGGGTGACGGGGATGGGGAGGGCGACAGCGGCGTGTACGGGGAGGATGACGTCGGGCCAGGTGCATAGGGGGAGGAGACGGACAGAAGGTTGCGATGCGCGGAAGCAACGTCGACGGCTGCTACCGCATCAGGGGTGTAGGGGTTCAGTGAGGCGGCGCTTGCAGATGCCACCCCTTGGGGGCCGGGAGCGTAATACGCAGGGGAAGAGCCATCGGCCAGGCGCACAGCGAGGATGGCGGGTTCTGCAGGGGAGAGCGCGAAGAGGTGCAGGGAAGGCAAAGAGTCAGGCAAAGCGATGGGGCCCCTGAACTGGGACCACCGATCCGGCAGGCCTGAAAGGGAGCACTCCTGGGCTGTGGGTACCCCGGCAAGGAGAAGCCCCCTCACTCTGGCAGACGACGCCGATGGCCTTTCCGCCGGGGCAGGCACGGGCGAAGCGGAACTTGCACTTGGCCAGTGCAGCCTCGCCGCCGCGGCACTGCACATCGCTAACCACGTAGAGCAGCTTGCCCTGGGGGAAGGTGCGGGCGGGGGCGCCGCCGGTCAGGCCCATCTGGCGGCACGCCACGCGCGCCTCCTCCACGCCAAACCCCGCCGAGCAGACGGCGCCCCAGGAGCCGCCAATCTGCAGCTCCAAGCGGCCCCGCAGGATGCCGCCGCCGTCCACCAGGCGCGCGGCGGCCACTGCAAAGCAGGCGGGGAAGCGGGGCCGCGAATGCACCAGTCAACAAGAGCAGAGCAAGTACTGAACACAGCGTGCGGGCAGCGGGCGAGGCAAGGGCAGGGACAGCCAAGCCTGGGTCTCCCCCTCACCCGACGCTGCAGTGACCTCGTCTTCTCGAAGCTCCCGTGGGTGGGGCTCATCAGGGAGGCGTGGCAGCCCTGCGGCGCAGGTGAGGTAGGCAAGGGGAGGCTGGAGTTGGCGGCACCGTCGGAAAAGCAGCGGCGGGCGGTAGCCCTTGTGCGACGCGCTTGCGCCCCGGCTGGCCAGTTCACCCAATGTCAGTACCTCTGGCGAGGCCTGTTTGCGCTGCTGCGGCGGGCGGAGTGCCTGCAACGAGCAGATAGTACTCCTCCCCAGACCGACGCACCCAGCCTTGTTCTGCGGAACGGACACTCACCCGACACCTCTGCGTAGGCAGACGAGCAGGTTGCCCAGACGCAGCAGGCCAGGAGCCCCAGGGCACGCGGGGTTGGCGTCCTCATTGTGCCTGCGGGGTTTGCAGCGCAAACAACAGGCGCTGCTCGCCTTAAAAATCGTGCCGGGGCCGGGAGCCTGCCTATGAGTGAACGGGAATCCCAGCTGTCGTCCGTCCTGACAAAGCCCCGGCTGCATGTGCACATGAAGACCTCTTGCTTGTGCTTGTGTGGGCTTAAAGTCTGGTAAAGCAAGAACTAGCTTGCAACATAGACTCCCCGCCGAAACGGGACGGGAACCGGGCGAAAGCAGAGAAAGCAATAAAACAGGGGTGGAGCAAGGCGACATGCAACGCAAGCAGCTGACAGGGCACGCATCGAAACGTGTGTATGACTGGCAAAGTGGCATGGCGCATTGGGGAGAAACGCAACGGTACGGGAGCATGGGCTGGCCAAACGGCAGTGCGGAACGCTAGGTCACTAGAAAAGCAGGGAAAGGCGCACTATGTATGCAATGAGGGCAGCCCCGGCTCGGGGCCGTTGAGAAAGCAGTGGGCGGGAGGGGGGAGGCCCCGGTGTGGGTGGGCCCCATCGAGGGGGGATGGGGCGCGCAAGCGGCCAGATGGGGCGGGGCGCGGGCGGCAGTGGAGTCCTGCGGCTGGGTGGGATATAGGGCAATGAGCGTTGAGCAGTGTGCGATGAGCAATGAGCAATGAGCAGTGAGCAGCCCCTCCCGAAACAAAGTGAAGCGCAGGACGGGGTCCGGTGGATGGGAGGCAAGGAAGCGCGGGGGGTTGCCACGCGTGCGCTACCGCCGCCGCCGCAGGCAGCACCCCTGCGGCGGCGGCAGCGGCAGCAAGCCGTGGACCCAAACGCCGTGCCGCCGCCGCCGCAGGCAGCACCCCTGCGACGGCGGCGGCAGC